GAGAACAGAGGCTTCAGTTGGATGCTGGGGAGGATGAGGAGAACACCTGGCAGAGGAAACCACAGGAGACCTGCATGGAGGCTTGAGGACCGGGGGTGGCGGGATACCATGAGTATAGATCTACAACTTATCTTTCAGTGGTGAGACTTGCTCTGTTGCAATCTGCTGTCAGGATGTGAGTATAGTGGGGGTGGGACAGCTGGATTCTAGTCTTTGGGTCCTTAAAGTCTGAGGAGTTTTTTGTACTTGGAGAGGAACACTGACCGCCACCTGTGCTTTATTTGTTGTTTAATGTATTTCCCTTGTAAACCTACTTAAGCAAAATCGTCTACACATTTAAACACGATTTATATACCCAATAAATCAAAATCTATGTATTTTACAAATCAAATGACTTAAACATTGATTGTAAACTTAAATCCTCATATTTCGATAGAATCACCAATATAATGTATTAACTTCTCTAAAAGCATGATTTTGGTAAAGCACACACATCTTACAAGGACCATGAAATTTATTACACCTATACTTACACTTATTATAAAGATGGGCTTGCAGACCCAAGAGAGTGATATTCTCTCAGTTTGCATATCCCCCAAAAGAACATTATCTCAGTGCAGATGAAGTTTTGTATTACTAATCAATGAATTCTTGGTTGGGATCAGAGAAGTGGATCTCCTTCTAAAATGACTAAAATCAGAGCCAGTGTTTACCTTGAATAGGGTGAGAGATCCTCAAGCCCACATTTTTTCCACGTGATTAGTGTTATAGCTGGATGCCTTTCCTTTAGATAATGACATCTTTAAGTTTAATGATGAGGATATTCCAAAAATGTCCATGTTCCATGCAGATGTTCCAAAAATGTCCATGCCCTGATTCCTGAAAACTTGATTATGTTTCATAGTAAAATGAACATTTTCATATGTAATTAAGGTTAAAATAGGAAGATTATCTTGTATTACCTGGGTGGGCCCAATCTAATCACATGGTCACTTAAAATCAGAGAACTTTCTTCACTGAAATCAGAGACATGGGTGGGTCATGGAGGTTCATAATGTATGAAGGACTTGGCCAGCATCGTTGCCTCAAAGATGGTGGACCTCAGTCCTACAGCCATAAGGAACTGAACTCTGAATTAGCTTGAAAGTGGATTCTTCTCCTTCAGCAAGGAAGGCAGCCCTTGCTTTCAACCTTATGAAACACCAAATAGAGAATCCAGACATGCTCTGCTGGACTTCTGACCTACAGAAAACTGTGAGATAATGGGTAGGTGCTGTGTTAAGCTGCTGAATGCATGGTAATGTGTTATAGAGCAATGGAAAACCACTACAACAACTGCACTGTCATTATTCACAAATGTCTGTAGCCCATTTGCACTCTCAAAAACATCTAGTTGTCCATCCCCCCCCAACATTGTTTCCTCTTCTTCCTCATTGTAAAATTACTGATGTTTAGCTGAGCATAGCTGCCTGGGATAAAGACTCTACCTCCTAGCCTCTCTCCCTGGTCTGGTGTGGCAGGTGTGACTAAACCAGAGCTAATGACATGCAACCGGAATGTGGGGTGCATCTTTCAGAAGGCTTCTATAAAGCGAACTGGTGGCCCTTTCTTCCTTTTTCCTTCCTGGGGGGCTGTAAGGCTGATGTAATGGTTGGAGTGCAGGGAGCCGGGTTGGGCCATGAGATGGCATGCAAAAGATGGTAGAATGGCAAGAAGAGAAACTCAGCTGTGATGATCATAAAACCGCAGTCCGGCCCTGGACTCTTCATGTGTGCATTCTTTCATGTGAGACAGAAATAATCTTTCTTGGGTAAGCCGTTATTATTTTGGGTTTACTGTTACTACAGTCTCATTGTAATTAGTATTGCAATATGGAGGCTCCCTTTCCCAAGAGATGAAGGATCAGGTTTGAGCTGTGGGCAGTTATCTTTTTAGACGTTGACTAATTCATCATCTAGCAACACACTGTTGGACTCCCTTTTGTCCTAGTTGCAATATATGACCAGATGGTGCCAATCAGCCTTCTTCATTCTTGACACAGTTCCAACCTTCCCTGGAATTACTCAGCGCTCCATGTGTCTACCCCTCCCTACTTATACAAATAAGGAGGAATGAGTGTACCTTATGAGGAGATAAAATACCTACTATTTTCATACTCTCCTACTTATCGGAATTAACTACAAATATGCCATTATATTTGTTCTTTTCCACTTGGTATATTATCTTTTTGCTCATTTTATAGTGACTTTTTCCTCTTTGAATGTCACTCCAGAGTCATGGATTTTAAAAATTCACCTTGTTCTGATTACTTATATTCTTTTTAAAAAAATTTTTAAAGAAGATTTTATTTATTTATTTGAGAGAGAGAGAGTGAGAGAGAGCGAGAGAGAGCACGAGTGGGGCTAGGGGCAGAGGGCTAGGAAGAGGGAGAAGCAGACTCCCAACCAAATGAGGAGCCCGATCCCAGGAACCTGAGATCATGACCTGAGCCCAAGGGAGGTGCTTAACTGATTGAGCCACCCAGGTGACCCTATTATTTTCCTTTTGATGATCAAATTGTCAGAGCATGTCAGGTGGGAGCATTTTAAGATCGATTCCTTTGCCTTTTCAGCTCTACCTTATACAGTTTAACAAGTATCCTTGCTTTTTGTCATTAACAACATGTTCCAGGGAACAACAACACGTTCCAGGCCTAGAGTTATTTAAGACATGGAACTATTTATTCTCCAAGGAACACTGAGTTCTATTTATTTACTAAAGATTTTTTATTTTTATTTATTTATTTTTTAAATATTTTATTTATTTATTTATTTGTCAGAGAGAGAGAGAGAGAGCGCGCGCACAAGCAGGCAGAGAGGCAGGCAGAGGCGGAGAGAGAAGCAGGCTCCCTGCCGAGCAAGGAGCCTGATGTGGGACTCAATCCCAGGACCCTGGGATCATGACCTGAGCTGAAGGCAGCAGCTTAGCCCACTGAACCACCCAGGCGTCCCAAGATTTTTTATTTATTTATTTATTTTATTTGTTTATTTATTTTTTTTAAGATTTTTTATTTATTTATTTGACAGACAGAGATCACAAGTAGACAGAGAGGCAGGCAGAGAGAGAGAGAGGGAAGCAGGCTCCCTGCTGAGCAGAGAACCCGATGCGGGACTCGATCCTAGGACCCTGAGATCATGACCTGAGCCGAAGGCAGCGGCTTAACCCACTGAGCCACCCAGGCGCCCCAAGATTTTTTATTTTTAAGTAATCTCTATACCCAATGTGGGGCTTGAACCTACAACCCTGAGATCAAGGTTCACATGTTTCATTGACTGAGTCAGCCAGGCGCCCTGCTCCCTGAGTTATTTATCTAATTTAACTAATTAATTAATTAATTAATTATATTTTAAAGATTTTATTTATTTATTTGAGAGAGAGAGAGAGAGGGTGCCAGCACAAGTGGGTGAAGGGGCAGAGGGAGAAGCAGACTCCCTGCTAAGCAGGGAGCCTAAGGTAGGGCTCGATCTCTGGACCCTGGAATCATGACCTGAGCAGAAGGCAGCCACTTAATTAACCAGCTGAGCTACCCAGGTGCCCCTCCCCTGTGAGTTATTTTAAAGGTGAATAATATTTGAGGCAAAGATCCAAGGGTTAAGAATGCGTATCAGATTTTTCCTGATGTTGTTTCTAGGCTACTTTCATGACAACATTTGAGAAAGTTATTTCTTTTGAAAACCACAAATTCACATTGGTATTTCCTATTTAAGTCAAGCATTGCTAACATCCTTTTTTATTTGACTCGAATATACAATCTTACATTTATCTTCTCAGCCACATACCTGCTTGTAGCCTGTAACCCCTGATCCAAATCGTAATGGCATCTTGTCTCTTCAGGGATCCTGCAGTTTCTCATTGACCATCATTCTCTAGTTGCTTTACGGAAAGTTTCATCCATGCTGGGAGAGTGGGACAGCATGGTAAGACAGAGAGATTTCATAATATCCGCAGGAGAGTGGTTGAAGGGATGAATCATAGCATCCAAGACAAGAGGAAGTTTAAGAAAGGAGGACAAGACAGCACAAATCAGGAGAAAGAAGAGAGGCGGAGGGAGCGTCTGGAACAGCTGCAGGAAGGTCGCTGAGACAGCCGGGAGGTGACGGTCAGAGTGTAGAGTGCTTGATGTTCAGATCGCAAAGGTAGAGCAGTTCTAGGAGGTGGCCTTGTCATTGACACATTCCATGCCTGGAGATCTACACTTGCTCACATGTGACTTTCTACCCCTACCTCCAGCCATCTAAGGAAGTTCAGTACACCGACTCTTGGCTAGAGTGAACACATACACTCCATGTTTTGGATGGGGAGGGGAGGGCCAGAGTCCATCCGGGACCTGGCCCAGATGGATACCCAGGTTCACTGCCTGCTGGCTGCCCCTATGTAAATGAAACACATATACTCTTTTCAGGCTGGGCACATGCCCTTCCTGACCCACCAGCTATAGGCTCCAGGCTATGGTCCTCCCCACACTTCTGCTGGTGGCTAAGCCTCCTACCCTAGCCCACATGGTGCTGGCTCAGCTTCTGATTGTGCTGGCCAAGATCCGTGATGCTGGCACACCTCATAGGAAGAAGCCTGCAGGGTACACTGAGGCTGGTCCATCTGGGCCGCAGTGGGGGCCTGTCAGTCTCACCTGGGCCACCTGTCCCTAAACAGCACTGAGTGGAGAGCTGGGGGTGGAGGAACAGGACAAGCAGAGTCTGCAAAGCAGCACAGGTCTCCCTACCTGGCAAACCTGCGGGCACAAAGTGCTGCAGTGGGAGACTGGGGGTGGGAGGAGAGGTCGGAGGGGCCAGGTCCTCAGACACCGCAGATCTACTCTTCACTCTTCACCTTGGGCGTTAGGGACAGGGTCCCATGCAAGAAAGTAGAATACAGGCAGACAGAGGGAGCCCTTCTCCTACCCCCAAAGATGCTGCTTCTGGGGCAAGAGAGGGCAGAGAGCAGAGGTTAGAGGTTAGAGTCAGGGGTTAGAGTCCGATCCTTGAAAAGCTTGAACCTCTAGAGTGGGAAAATGAGGAAGCCAGAGAAGCTTGAATATTTCCAGCCACCCAGCAGGTTCCCCCGGCGCAGGCGTAGGGACACCCGGTCCCCCGGGTCCAGGGGCAGTAACACAGAGCTGGTGGCTGCCTCTCGAGTCACGTCAGGGTCGTTGGCAAAGGCTGAGATGACAGGCCAGGTGTTCAGCATCAGGCTTACCTGGGGAGGTGAGCCCAGTTAGAATTTCTCCCCAGCCCTTGTCCCAAGACCTCCACTTTCCCAAGGGCTTCTTCTTTCCTCCAGCCCTCAAGGGACTCTGTAATCTTGGGAACTTGGAGCTCAGTGCACTCTTGTGGGAGGGCTGAGAGGTGGCCAGTGCTGGCCTCTACCTCCTCCACACTCTCTGCTGGCTGCTATTTTCCTCCCTTGCTCCTGCCACCCCCCCCAACCCCCGACACACACAGGTCAATGGAGGGTCTGCCTAGGAGTCACAGCTGGACTCCACTTATTCCATTTCCCTCCCCTCCCCTCCTGAGCCAGGACAGGGCCCTAGCACACAGGTCACCTGGACAGTTTGGCGGTTGTACACCTTCACCACATGGAATCGGAAGCTATAGACACCACGGACAGGGGCCACGAAGGAGCCTGAGGCCCGGTCAAAGCCACCACCCTCATTTACCAGGACCTGTGGGAAGCAGACTCTATTGAGTGGGGATCAGAGAAACTATTGGGTTGTGGGGAGGGGTAGTTAGTTAGGAAAAGAAGGGGTGGCAAGTAGACAAGAACAGGAGGAAGGCATGAATTCAAAGGAAAGGTGAGAAAGGGCAAGGAGGTATGTAGGTAGGAATGTAGGGAAGGGAGATGGGCAGTGGGGCTGAGGAGCACCTGGTCACACAGTAGGGGGTTTTTCCTTAAGAGCAAAGTGGGTTTGGGCAGTTGATCCCAGGTCCTTACAGGTCATCTGGACAAGGGTAGGGGGATTACCTGGTCAAAGTAGATGGCCCCACTGGTGCCATTGCTGATCTCTCCTGCTGGCTCATGGTGGTGGCTTCGGACTGCGGCAAATGCCACTCTTCCCGGGGGTGCCTCTCCTAGGGCTGCTCCCCCAGGGCCCCCTGCAGCAGCTCGGCCAGGCTCACAGACCACCAGGCACTCACCCTCCAGGAGGACAGGCTCTGCCCCCTCTTGGGCCCACCCGCACCCTAGGATCAGAAGCATCAGGGCCAAGGGCAGCCAGGGGCTGGAGAGGAGACCTGGTGGCCAGTGTCGCTTGGCTCCCAGCATTGCTGACTGGCTCTGTGACCCACAGGTCCTCCTTGTCTTCTGCCCCCTCTCAGTGTTCCTTTCAGTTCCCTCTTCCCGTGGACTCTCACTACCTCTCACCCTGTTCTTTAGCCCTCTCTCTGGGTCTTACTGTTCCCTGGTCTCAGCATCCCTCTCTCCATACCTCTCTGTGCCCCACAACTCTGTCCTGCCTCTCTCTCCCGCTGTCACTGCAGTTCCCTCCTCCTTGGCAGGGCATGAAGTGACAGCAGCAGTTGGGCTGGAGGAGGGAGAAGAGGGATGAAACAGCCAGACAGGAAGGCTACAGACAGAACCCAGGGCAGCCCCTCTGGAGAGCACTAAAGGCTGCGTCTGGGACGACGGAGAACTTCCGTCTGTTCGTAATGTGAGAATGTGAGAATGTGAGTTCCTGTAGGTGCGTAAGTGCCTGTGTGCCCAAGACAGCCCTACAGCCCCCTCTTTCTCCTTGTTCCTGCCCTCTTCAAAATCCCCCGCTAGTCAACAGCCCACTCAGCGGCTCCTTCCGGCTGTTGGACGAAAGCCAGAGCCCTATCTTTTCCTTACAATTGTTTTGGTGGAAAGTGCTTGAGCCAACGGTGTCAGTATCTTGTGACCGTGGGCCAGTCTCTTTCTCTCCTTAGTCTTCCGTATCTTCATCCGAAAGTAAAGGATGAGTCCCTTTTAAGGCCTTCTTCACTTCCAGCTCTCAACGAGTGGCTCCTCTCTCCCTAAAAACAGCTGCTCAGAACGAGCTGGAACCCAGACCCAGGGGAGAGACTAGCCCATCCGACAGGCTGGGATGCGGAGCTGAGGGAGAAACCTACAGGCGAGTGGGCGGGCCGGAAGGCGGAGCCGTGGGCGGGCCAGGGAGGAGCCCGGCGGCAGGCGCGCGCTAAGGCCGGGAGCCAGCCCAGAGCGGGGTGGGGTCTGGCTGACTCCACCCCCGGCCAGGAAGTGACTCAAAAAACTGTTCGAGATGTGGAGAAGACAGGTCCCAGTTGGGTGAGGGCTTCGAGAAGGCCCGCCCAGATTCGGCCCCCCACCCCGGCTCCGTGGCCCCCCAGCTCTTCTCCGCTGGGTCTGGGGCGCGGGCGAAGCTGGAGCGGGCAGGCACCGAGAGGCGCCGGCGGGCCTGAGGCCGAAGCGGGCTGCCGAGGCGGGTAGGCGCACTCTCCCCCGCGCCCGGGCGGGGGGAGCCAAGTCCGAGCCCCAGTACAGAGCGCGGCCGGGGGGAGGGACGGCAGTGGGCGGTGGCGGCCGGCGGCTGTGGGCGGTACCCGGCCTGGCGCGGGTCCCCGGGTGGGGCCGTAGAGCGACCGAGAGGAACGGCGGACAGCGGATGGAGGGAGAGAGGTGGGAGGGGCTAGAACCTTGGAAATGGCAGACTAGGGACTCCGGAGGACATCCCAGTTCAAGCCTCGGTGAGGATTCGTCTTTAAGAGGCTAGTTTGGACCCGGAGACTGTAGAGACTTGAGGAGAGAGACTGTTTTGTCATCTATCCACTTCTGGCCTCCAGACCGAGCTGGAGGCGCCCCCCACCCCGCCACTCTTCCTGCTTAGGGCCGTGGCCAGCCTTTTCCAGAGGCCAGATGCCCATCCCCAACAGGCAGTCTTGGTTGCCCATTACTTTCTTTCGGAGAGAAGACCCGGTTCCGGATAATGTGACGTTCCCTTCCTCGATGGACCCAGGGTGTTCGCTAGATCGATAACTAGGTGCGACCTGTTGATAGCTAGTGTAGGCTGGGAGACCACAGTTTAGGTTGAGCGGGCGAGGAGGCTCTGAGCTGCCTTCCTTCCTTCCAGGGCTGGGTGGCCAGGCAGCCATGCCTATCTGGGGGGCTGGCTCCCCGTCCCCTGACCGCTTTGCCGTGTCTGCGGAGGCCGAGGACAAGGTGCGGGAGCAGCAACCCTACGTGGAGCGCATCTTCAGTGTGGGGATGAGTGTCCTCCCAAAGGACTGTCCTGAGAACCCTCACATCTGGCTGCAGCTGGAGGGCCCCAAGGAGAACGCCAGCAGAGCCAAGGTGAACACCCCTGTCTGCCCTTTCAGGGAATAACGACTCCCTCCCCTACAGGGAGGCAGAGGAGTGGAGGGCCTGCTGGGGAGGATCTCCACTCACTCCTTGGTTGTCTTACTGGCAACCTCAGTGACTCTAAACTTAGAGGGACTTTGCAAATAGTATTTCTGTGGAGTTTTGGTTTCGTTTCAGCCTTGGTGAGCCAGGTTCTGCCACGACTTAGAGACAGGTGATTGCGTTGGAATCAGTTGTGCTGTTTGGGAGACTGGAGATAATCCAGTTGGGCAGGCAGGCCCCACCAAGGAATTCACTGGGGGAGGGGAAGCCAGGCCACATTGCTTCCTTGGGTCAGAGGTTGCAGTACAGCTCCATCAGCTACCAGCCCTGTGCAGAGTCTCCTGTTTCCTTATTTAAGAAATGTGAATAATAGCAATGTCTACCTCATTGGCTTATTGTGAATGAGATAAAGCATGAGCTCAGCAAAAGTTAGCAATGACAGTCATTATGATGGAAATATTATCACACATGCAAGCGTAAATATTCAGAGAGACAGCCTTGTTAATTATAATCAGTTAATTATAATAGTATCTTAAATTGAGCCAAGTTCTAAATGGAAATATTAGCCATAGACTATCAGCTGAAAAAGGAAAGGAGTAGATTCTTGATTCCTTTAATCCTCACCTTTGTCAGGATCTATGGATCTCCATTGCTCTGTCCAGGCATCTTGGAGCTCAGGGTGGAGTGCGATGGGCTTGAAGAAGCTACTGGGCCATGTAGAATTCCAGCAGTCTCTTTTTTCTCTATTGCCTCACCCCCCTCCCCTCACCTGCCGCCCTAAATTTCTCTCCCAGGAGTTCCTGAAGGGTCTTTGCAGCCCTGAGCTGCAGGATGAAGTCCACTACCCTCCCAAACTGCACTGCATCTTCCTGGGAGCCCAGGGCTTTTTCCTTGATTGCCTGGTCTGGAGCACATCAGCCCACCTCGTGCCAGGGCCCCCCGGTTCGCTGATGGTCAGTGGCCTGACCGAGGCCTTCGTCATGGCTCAGAGCAGAGTGGAGGAGCTGGTGGAGCGGCTGAGCTGGGACTTTCATCCGGGGCGATCGCCTGGAGCCTCGCAGTGTGCCGGAGTGCCAGGAGACTTCTCTGCCCTGCTGCAGCCCTATGGGGATTCCCACACACAGGCCCTGCTGCGGTTGCCCCTGGCTGTCCAGGAGGAACTGTTGAGCCTGGTGCAGGAGGCAGCCAGGGGGCAGGGGCCCCAGCCACGGCCCCCCTGCGGCAGGGGGAGCCCAGACCCACTGGGTGCTCAGTACCAGGGCGTCAGAGCTTCCTTGAGTGAAGGCAGGGAGTCCCTGGACCCTGGACCTATGGGGTGGCAAGAGTCAAGAGGAGAGAGACAGATTATGGAGAAGGAGGGAGGGAAGCAGGGTGGTCCCAGGGAGATGGAAGTGGGGTGGAAGGAGCTGCCTGGGAAAGAGGTCTGGGAGAAAGCAGGAGCCTTCAGATCACAGTCAGGAGGGGGAGCGGTAGGGCAGTTAGGGCCTTTCCTGACAGGGAAGGGCCTGGGCAAGGAGGGGGTGCCTCAGGACAGGGGAAGGTCAGTCTGTGTCCAGGGTGAGCCTCCTATTGCACAGGGCCCCTGTCAGAGGGCAGCTCAGCCCCGGGGAGCCTCCCTCCTCCAGCGGCTCCACAACGGGAAAGCCTCGCCTCCAAGGGTGCCCAGCCCTCCCCCTGCACCCGAGCCCCCGTGGCACTGTGGAGACCGAGGAGACCGGGGAGACAAGCAGCAGGTCGTGGCACGAGGTCGTGGGTCTCCATGGAAACGAGGCACGCGTGGGGGCAACTTGGTGACCGGCACGCAGCGTTTCCAGGAGGCCCTGCAGGACCCTTTCACTCTGTGCCTTGCCAATGTGCCCGGCCAGCCAGACCTCCGTCACATTGTCATTGATGGCAGCAACGTGGCCATGGTGTGAGTACCTGGTGGGCCTGAGGTTCCTGGGGGCGGGGTTCGGGGCATGGTCTGAGCGGTGTTCCTGAACCCGGGGATGTGTGCTGAGCGGCCCCTCCTCTGTGGCCCCGGAGCGCTGACCCCTTCCCACTGTAGGCACGGCCTCCAACACTACTTCTCCAGCCGGGGCATCGCCATTGCTGTGCAGTACTTCTGGGACCGGGGCCACCGGGACATAACTGTCTTTGTGCCTCAGTGGCGCTTCAGTAAGGATGCCAGGGTCAAAGGTGAGTTGGGCCTGGTCTTTTGTAACCTGGGATAGGCCCCGCTTCAGCCCAAGGATAACCCTGTTGTGCGCCTGTGTTTCTCTAGAGGGCCACTTCCTGCAAAAGCTGTACTCCCTCAGCCTGCTCTCCCTCACTCCCTCCCGGGTCATGGATGGCAAGAGGATCTCCTCCTATGATGATAGGTACTCAATTCTCTCCTGGCCCCTGTCTTGAGATTCCAGGAACACAGTAGGGGAACTGAGGGAGAGACAGAAGCCCCCCCCCCCACCCCTTGTGCTGTCTCTTAAGCCGGGTAGCGGGAAGATGGCCAGTCGTTCCTCCGTGTACCTGTATAAATGGGTCAGTAGACCTGCCCCACAGGCGTGATGAGGCAGATGGTGGAAAGCTGCATTTGCCTGTTCATTCATTTCTCGTTCTTCAAACTGAATGCTGCCTTGGATTTATGGAGTGCCTTCCTGTCTAGAAAATACTAGGTTAATGGAAAGCTGGGAAAGCTGGTAATGTAAGTAACTGACAGGTACCTTCTGACAGCCCACATTTCCAAACAGGTAGAGAAATTCCCAGCATTCGGGAAGTGCCAGGGTATATGTTCAAAATCACAAGTCAAATGAAGAGACACAAGAGGCTCTTTGCTCAGAGTATACAAAACACATCTGACAGAAATAGCACTGGACTTAGAATTGGAAGATCTGAATTTGAGCTCCAAGTTGTACTGTTCATTGACTCTGCCTGTGGACCAGACTCTTAGGGGTCTGACCTCTTTGTCTCAGGGTCCTCTTCATTTGGTCACCCTCCTTGTGAATATCAAAAGGAGCTAAGGGATATGCTTGCCTCATTCAAGGTGCTTGGCAAGTGTACAGTGATATTCTTTAACTGTTCATGGACCCAATCAAGTGTAGCAGTGGGTCTCATCTCTGTCATACAGAACCGCAGACATAGGTTAACTCTCTCGACCAAGGCTATTACGTGGCAAAGGAAAAGTGAGATCTTAAAGCTGCCAAATTGTTTAAATGAAAAATGCAGGGCACGTTCCTTTCCCAAGGGACACACACAGTGGGAAAATGGGCAGATTTTAAAGATTTTATTTATTTATTTTAGAGATAGGG